ATTCGATCAGAATGACAAAATAAACTAAGCATCCACTGGAAGGAATCCCAATATCTGCAGACGGATCCGTTTCGGCCTTCCAGGCCTCATCAGTACAGCTAGGGTACAGACCCAAACGAAACGTTCGACTAGCTTAGGTAGGGCCCAGACTAGTCCCACGACCACTAATGAATACAGAGCCAAGCCAAGGCAATATATATACACAGCCCAGGTGTGAATATTTTGTCATTCTGATCGGATTTTCTCTACTGTTCCGTTTTAATTTTAAATTGTTTTGCATTATGTGGCCGTTTGCTGTTTTATGGGTTTTTCCCATTTGCCTTTTTTAAATTTATAAATTATTAAAGAATCTCTATTGAGATCCAGCGGGCCGCCATTGATGCACGGTAGAGATTGCATCTTTAGATCTCCGATCTTGTTCACAAAATCACGGACTAGTGCTGTCTCGTAAGAATTTCTTAGGACGCGTTAAGAATGACAAAATATTCTCTGTTGTATTCTACTGGAACCGAGCCGCATAGCTTGTATTCCACTATTTGCATTCACACCTGGGCTGTGTGTATATTATATATATATATATATATATATATATATATATAATATATATATATACTATTCTAGTTATGAAAGTTTGTCCTAGATTTCATGTTTTGGGCTCTGAAAAAAAAATCTTATTTATTTAAAAATGACTTACATATTAAATTGTTGTTGAAGTGCTCTCAGTAAAAGTTGTAATGGACGTTGGTACTGGTCTTAATATCAAGTCTTCGTAACGTCACGTTTATTCACCTTTTCTACTAAAAGTTGCTTTTCCACTTCTATCGATTACATCTACATCCTACAGACAGCAAATAGAAAATCAACGAAAAAACGGAGACCTTCACAGTTTTGACGTAAACTAGCTGAATGGACTGAATATATTTGCATAACAATACATACGTCTTAAGTATTCGATATCACCACTGTATTGGAATTCAGCGGCCCGAGTTCTTTCTCTAAATTCTTGTATGCACTCTCTCTCTCTTGGTAATACTTTCGTATGGTGAAATAACTTGTAATTTTAAGACTGGTGTGATGTAAACTTTGTAAGCGTTTTAGACCTATATTCTTTACTTGTAACTTTTACCATACGAGCTCATAGCAGACAAAGGCCAGTCTGGTTTGCCGAATAATTTATTTTACTGTTCACATTAGGCCTTATTAGCCCTGCTGACAAAGAATTCTAGGAGAAAAATGGAACGATTTCAATTATTCTGCAAATTAGCGACATGGCCCAGATACCATCATCTCTTTTGTAATAGTGTAGAGTTAATGTGAAAATAAAACTTTGAAGTATTAATAATTAATTTTTAGCTCCGATGAGGAGCTCTAGAAACACTTGGCTGATTGAATAATAGATCATTTTCGTATGGGCGGCCGTTAGGGCTTAACTCCGATGACGAGCTTTAGAAACACTCGGCTGATTGATTAATAGATTATTTTGTATGGGCGGTCGGTTAGGGCTAATATACTCTACTGCCTCTATTATACTGCCCTCATCGGAACAAGAATTTATTTTAGTTTTAATAGTTTCGGTGATATCCGCAATTACTAATAATGCAGAACTGGAATCCTTTTGGCCCAAGACCCAGTAAGCTATACTCAAGGCATGACTCCCGACCGATGGGCATAGGCCATTGTTAAACTCATTAAAAAATAGATTTAGCTATGTTTCTAATATGCCTATTGCATTTTATTGAGTATGTTAACACACAATAGTTAGGATAGCATTAATAGGGTGGAGGAAATTCAATAAAGGTTAATTGACCATTATTCTGGGTGTTTTGTTAATTACACAATATTATGAACGGTACTATTCATTTTTTATTTTCACTACCACAGAGGAAGGTATGAGTGGGGAAGAGCAGAGTCAACAATAGTATGTGCACGGAGTCCTATAAACCATGATTTCTGTGTCACTTCTACAAATTACAAAATGGTGTATTTTAATACAATCCGAGTGATCTGACATCACACCATGCGTAAAATTACAAGTTATATTACCATTCGACCTTATTAGTGGAGTAACGTCTCTACTCAATGATGCATAGTAACTATTGTATTTGTTGTGAATTGTGGTTGTTTTTTTGTTTTTTTTTGTTTTTTTTTTAATGGGGATATTGGCCCAAGGTTGTCTTTTCAGCAATAAACGAAATGGAAAGTTAAATTGAAATAAAAATTGCTATTGAATAAACACAGTACAAGAAGAACCTAGTGAATCGTCCACCCGAATTCCGTCTCGCCTAGTTTTGATTAATTCACTGTGTTTCGTTACATCAATAGTTTTTGTACTTAATTGTAAACTTTATCTATATCCCTGTTATGATAAATACTTGTATTGTATTTGTTGATACACAATCTCTATGAACCGTGCCGGGGCTGAAATTTCTGAGACTGAGGGCCCTTTTGGGTCCCGGTCGCCAATTCATTGTAGTATTTTTTTATGTGCTTGTTTTTTAATCATATTTGTCATTGTATTCTAAATGTTTTTAACGACGAAATAAATGTTATGACATCAGTGGTGGATCCAGGAATTTAAAATAGAGGGGGTCCAGAGGGGACCTTTACAGATGGATGGTCCAGACCACCTCAGCCCCAACACGGTAGGGGCCGACGAAAATAAAATTTATGATTATGGCAAATCTAGACTTCTTTTTATATTTCCATTAAAAAATGACAATTTCAGGACCCACCCCTTTAATCCGCCATTAAATATTATGACACTATGTCCTACAGTCGATATAAGAGTCGCATTATGCTGTTATGTACGTATCAACAAAGCCCTTTTGGGTCAGCGTGCTAGATTGAGGAACCTATGGGGTGTCGGCGAACATGGACTCTTGGTTCCTTGTCGTTGTGTAGCTACATGTTACCGAATAAAAGTCTGAAAATATTGGTCAATATCAATATTATACTGAAACATCCTTATTTTGAATTAAAATTATTAAGGAAGTCCCTAGGAGATCATTAAATAAGGGTCATCACAATGTGAAGAATGCATATTTTAAGGAATAAATAGTGTTAAAGAGACAAAAATATTCATTGTCATTTTGTCTATAGTTTTGGTTTAATGGTAACCCTATAGGTTATTATTATAGTAGTGGGTTATTATAGATTAAAGGTTAAAGTTTATTCATTAATATTGCCTATGCAAAATGCAAGAGTCTCTATGCGCAGAACAAGTGAGCAGTTGTAACTGGAAAATTAAAAAAAAAAAAAGAAAATCCAGCCAGTACCCAAACCGCAGTATGGGGATACGCTCTCGTCACTGAGCAGGAGCTATCAAAATGTACCTTGTCCAGCACCAGTTGAGTCTCTGCCATCCAAGGACTCAGGCGCCTCCTATCCTGATAGAACTACAAAAAAGCTAGCTGGCAAGGGATGGAAAAGGGGAAATCAAAGAGAACGAAATAAGTGAGTTTTTAAATGAGATTTAAACAAAGAGACGGATGGCGACTCACGAATACATAACGGTAGAGTATTCCATAATTTAGGAGCAGCAACCATGAATGGGTGTGTTACTATTAGAGGTGTTTACTAATAGAGTAATGGGTAATTATTAGAAGTTTAAGGTATATAATGTATGTTCTTCATTTTTTTTTACTATAGAACTCTACAGTTTTGTTGCCAAGAATGATCCCAGGACATTGGGATAGGAAGGCCAACAATGTAACCCAAGTTAATATATGATCAGGTTTATAAAACTGTACAGACACTCAGAAGCAACAATGATAGATAGTCCAATGGAAAAAAAGGTGAAGTGAAAACAACAACGACATCAATCTGTGCGTTAGATCTGCGTCTATATATCTTATAGAGGTATAACACTTTCCTTGAACGAGATGTTGCATGTTAGCAGGTTCGAATTCCACAGGTACATTACAACTGAAAGTGAATTGTACACGTTAATGTATTCCAGCATTGCCATTATTATTTATCTATTTGTTTATATTGTATTTACTACGCAACAAACCTAACTTGAATAATATTTGCTATGATTGTCTTATCTTCGACCTATAAGCCAGTTCTAGTTCAATCCATTATGTGTAAGTGAAACAAAAATCAATTGTCTGGGGTTAGATCTGTGCCTATGTAGTATATGTAAGTCCCGGTGGTGGTTTAGCGGTATGGTACTCGCTGAGACAGGAAGATGTTGCAGGTTCCAATCCCACCAGAGACAACATATGCTCCTGTATTCTAGAACTGTTGAAATTATTTGTATATTCGTTTGTATCGTGCAATATGATATGAATATTACTACGATTTCCCAGCTCTGACCTAGACGTTTGTTTCTAACATTAACATTAGCTCCAACAATGTCTGATCGCAGAAATCAGTTGTATGAGAGAAGGTATTGGAGGTTGATGATCTGCACCTATATTTACCGGGTTTCTGTGGTCTATCGGTATGACACCCGCAAAGGCAGCAGGATATTGCAAGTTCGGATCCCGCCAGAGACTTTTTATACAACTTTAAAAAATAGGAAAAGGAAAACTTTGCTGGAGTACTAGCTGGAGCAGATTCAAAGAGGCCTATATTACGCTATTTACGGTATTGTAACTCAAAAAACCATACTGTAAACATACCGTCATCTGCTCATTGAACAGTTCACTGAATAACAAAGTAAATACGTCATATTCCATTTTCCTATAAAATCGACCATATAATTTGAATGGTTTCATAATAATCTGAGGTGAACGGATTATAAAGATTTATATCTAGGCCTATCTGACCTTATTCAATGAAGTTCGGCTACGTGTTCACGCACTCTGAGATCCACAACCAGTTCATCTATACTTTACTGTCAACCCTGCCGTTAAAAATCTTTTGGCAAGCGTTCATTTAGTGTCGTAGCCCCCAAAGCTTTGGAACGCATTACCTGACACTGTTCGCGAGTCTCCATCTGTTCAAGACGAGGATTAAGACCCACCTGTTTTGCTCTTTTTAATCTGTTTTCCTTTTCTGGCCTTTCTTTTTGGATAGGATAGCCAGATGCCAGTGTCACAGAGGTCTTGTGAATCATGTTCCAGCGAGCCCTTCATTTGGGCCTTAAGGTGCTGGAGAACAGAGCAGAGACACTGGTTCCTTCTGCTGTCTTCTCTTTGTCTCTGTGGTTGTTTGCTTTTGTTAGTCTTAGGATATTTCTCGGTTTTTTTCTGCTCCAAGACTTTGCATTTCAAGCGCATCGAGACTATTGTAATATGCGCTTAATAAATACAGCCATTACCATTACCATAATCATCCATATATTTCAACAATCAATGCAAAATTGAGTGACCGTTTTTTAATAACACCTTATGATTTTGTATAGTAAAAAGGACTGAATTTTTTTGTTTTGTTTTTGTATTTTAACTGTTTCTGCTTCCCCTAACTTACGTAAGGTTAACGGTCAAGTTTAGTTTATAAATTAAGCTTACCTGTCATGCTAATAAGAAACAACTGATCATTTTTTCAAAGTTTTCTATTCTAAATTGTTTGTACCCTGTTTTGACAGTCGGACGAATGACGTCAAGCGCTTTAAGTTAATAGCAGATACGAAGTTAGCGAGGTCTGTGGTGAGTTTACCTGACTGGAGTCTTCTATAAATACAAATACCGTAAAACATCAAAATAAGCCAATGAGATTTGTTTTTAGGACCTATGGATAAGTTTCTTTTAAATACTCTTTTTAGGTTACTTTTGCAGGCTCAACATATGAAGGGGCTTCTTTTCAAAATGAATGCTGTAATATTTTGGAACTGCTACTAAAAATCCGTGTAGGAATAAAAAAAGATATTTTCAACCATGCAATCTGGGAAAATAATTCTGAAAACTCACAAACAATAAAATTATAAAAATTTGATTGATGTTCAAAACATGCCGACCACAATCTGTTGGTTAACTAACTATAATATAATTATATAATAAAATTCAAGTTTTTGATATAAAAATATGATAAGGATGATGAATGATAGGCATATGTATAATTTATCAAGCGTGTGTATTATTTGTAAAATAGTAATTTTATTTTTAATCTTCTAATGAATTTACTGTATATAGCCGAATTTACCTTAAACCAAGGCAACCATAGCTACTGTACAACGATATACTTTATTTATTACACGGCTTTTACAAAATAGAATGCGCAAATTCATGTTGAAGAAACCCTTTTCCGTTTCGAATATAATAGAGCAGGAATTTAACCACGCTACAATTGATATCATATTAATAATGAGAGGCTATCATAAGCATAAAAGAGAACGCCATTCTGCATCACATATTATTTATGGTAAAACTAACTGACATTGAATTAAAAAACAAAGTGTTTTTTTAACTATATATTTCCATTTCTTTGACATTCATTTACAATGTAAGTACTATTTAGGAAAGAAGTCCATACTATTTTGACTAAAAGCTTATGGGAAATTGACTTTTGCAAGCTAAGGAAGGGCCTTCTTTCGAGATTAGGCTCATGGAGCTTCTATTTGTAACCCTACCCCGCCACTCTGTGCGTTTGTGAGACGAATTTTTAGAAGGATTCCTGGCCCTATTCTAGTTGGTCAGTTGTTAAGTTTGATTGAATTCCGGAAATGCTTTTTGTGCCACTTTCAATAAACAAAACAACAAGACTAATGGCACTTTTAACTTTTAATCAAATTCATCAACTCTATTCATGCTGTACTTAATTATTGAGTATTACACATGAACCGCAATAATAGGAGTATGACCACTCTCTATTAAAGATAGTAATATTATTATATTGATTGTGTTTCTGTAACTAAACTGCTCCGTCTAACATTGAGTAGGCCTAAGTGTAATTCTAAATCATACTTTCTAAGACAATTGAAACGTTCAGGTGCTAATAACCATGCGGTATTGCTGTTTTATAAACAAGTCCTTAAACCTGTATTAGAATACGCAGTCAAGGGTGGCGCCAGCGAGTGGGGGGGGGGCAAAGCCCTGCGTCGGGGAGAGCTGCCCCCACCTCCGTCGGGGAGAAAAAGCACAATTCGTCAGGGAGAAAAAAAAATGTATTTTCTACATATTAGTAGACTCTAAAATCGATTAAATAAGCCTTTGAAACCCCTAAATTGTCAAAATTTTCGGGGGCTTCGCCCTGGACCAAATTCGAAACCTTTTAATCGAAGCTCGACCACGCCCACATTGCTTTCGTCGGGGAAATCTGACCCCTCTTCGGGGACCTCGGCCACCATGTCGGGGATCTCCCCCCGTCGGGCAACTCCTGGCGCCACCCCTGTACGCAGTGCCAATAAGGGGTATGAATATTACCACAGACCCTATACAGGCTCTGTGATATGAATACCAGTCTTACCAACTTGATCGCATTCAGCATAGAGCATACCAAATAATCTTTAACGAAACTTCTACAATAGATGATAGCCTTGTTATTCCACTTACTGTAAGAAGGGAAAACCTGTGTAGGAGATACTTCACCAAGGTTAAAGATCCGGAACATGTACTTCATAATCTCCCTCCTCCAATTTTAAACGCTGATTCACTAAGTATATTTTCAAAAAAATTGAAATTTCACCTAATGTCGTTCTATTAAATTAATATTTTCGGTCAGATTTGATATGCTCTCGCATGAACTTCAGTTGTGTGTTTGTTTGTTTATTCATTTTTTTTCTCTCTTTTTTTTTTTTTTTTTTCTGTCAGTATTGACTTTTTTTTTCAGGCATGCCCATCACAAGATCTTTATCTTCTCGGAATCATGCCTTTTTCCATAGTTTACTTTTTTTTTTAAACCTTATTGTATTGCATCGTTTTGTGTTCTATGGAAGTTCAATGTCTTGAAAGAAAGAAAGAAAGATAATATACTGCCTGATAAAGCCTCTATCAACTATAACCTTCGAGCTCCAAGAGATGTAAAGTTGCTCAAAGTCAGAACAAAGCGGTCTCCCTTTCATGATTTCCCCGTCTCCCTTCATGGCTTCCCCTCCCTCAAAATCTGTAGGCTTTACTTAGTATCTATAAGTTTATTTTCATATTTATGTCTCCCTATGTACCATTTTTAATATTGGTTTTTAATGAATACCTCTTTAACTATTAAAATGTTGTACGCTTTCTTTTGCATTTCAATGTTGTAATGAGTTCTCCAGCTTTCTTATTTTAACTGATTTAACTGGTTTATTTTGAATATTTTAAACACATTTTTTAAAGTTTGCCTTAAATTTGCCATAAAGTCATTTTGTATCTTGTATCGTGTATGGCCTAAAACCATCGGTCGCTTATCACACTAAAGACTGCAAATATATTTGCCGTTTTCAATATGAACTGAGATTGAGACTGTACAGTATGTAGATTTTGAAATTCGCGGTGGTAAAGACTAGGCCTAGAATGAATAAAAAATTAATAAATAATAAATTAATTAATTACCGTTACAAATCTAAAGCATTCTATGTTCACAGTTAAGATATGTGTGTATGTGTGATTAAGTATTGTATGTTTTTGAATGCAATGCTTTGTTTTGATATTTTTAATCACAAAAAAAACCCATTATAGTAACAGATTGTACACAATGCCCTCAACGATTTTTAGGATAACCGGAAAAATACTGTAGGTTTATAATTTCCACCAAAACGTTTAGTATTTCCCTATTTGAACATCGGATCCACCCTTGTCTATAAATGACTCTACTAAGCTCAACAGACAAATTAAAGTTTAAGGAAAACAGTAGTGATTCAACAAATATAGTTGTCTTTTGGATGTGTTTTGCTTCTTTAAGTATAAGTATCACTTTTCAGATAGTGTATTTTCACCTATGTACGATACAGAAAGCCAACATTTTATCGTAAAATGTACTTTGTCTGCCTGCCTTGGTAAATATTAAATTTTTATTAATTTGTTGTAGTTTCTTTTATCTAAGACACTGAAGAATAGGTCAACTACAGAATAAGAAAAATAAAACTGTTATACATCTACCTAAAAGTATAATTAGCTTAGTTTAAGTTTCATTACATTTAACAAAAATTCTATCACAATGCTACTAGTTCCAAGTATCATATATACTAAATTCATGGTAGGACTCTACAATTTCTGTTAGTATCACGGAACGTGTTTAGGTGTGTTTGAAACTTTTACTTCGTTCCAGGTATCTGTGCCTAACTCTCAACCGTAACAGTGTTTCCGGCTACAGCAAAATTGAATGAAGATGCGCTGATAACGTATGCATTCACAACTACCCTACCAGGAGAAATTGTGGCAGGCGAGACTTGGTTGAAATGTGATGCAGATGGCGTAATGCAGGGGGATCCTATTATAACGAATTTATTTAACAAAGAACCTAAAGGTAGATACAGCATAAGTCCTGATGGATACCTCATTATATCTAATGTTGAAGTTAACGATACAGGATACTATCTATGCAGAGTATCCACATTATCCGGTAACAATGCAAATGGGTTCTCTAAATTAACAGTTCAATGTAAGTACTGCATTTACATTGTTTTCCTATTGTATCATGGTTGCATGTCCAGTGAGTAGCCCCTTCTCGGTTCAGTGTTTCCCATCTTATAAGGCACACGTAAAAGAGCTGCTCGTGCGGCCATTTCAACCTGCAGGGAGCAGCAGTTTTTCTGTAATTTCTTTATATTTTCTGTAATTATTTTTTAATTTTTTTTTTTTTTTACTTTTTAAGATAATATTTCGTATATACTTATAATCAAGTTAACTAGTGGTGAAAACAGGCAAAAGCAAGTGCTCCCGGAGATCATCCATCTATCACTGTCGCTTTCCCGAACCTCTTATTAGGTAGCTCGAACAAAGAAACAGGAAATACATTTTAAAGAAGGGAGGGAATGGCTGTTTCTTGACAAATTAATCAAAATAACGGAAATGAAAAATTTCAGTTTTGTCTTGAACTCACTAAGAGTCAAAATGCAACGGATGTCTTGAAGAAATTCATTCCATATTTTCCCGCTGCGGCTTGAATATATATTTTTGTATTTTTGAATAATTTTGTAATTTTTTAATAATATAAACTTCTATTTCTGTCAGATCTTGACACACCTATTTTGGAACCAAAGCAGGAAATTTTTAACGAAAATTCAATTGCGAAATTTACATGCACCTTACCTGATGGTGTTCCAACACCTATCACCACCACATGGGTCAAAGATGGTGGCGTGCTTAATGTTTGTGATACTAAGAAATATCCACAGTCAGACACATCATTAGAGATTAGTGGAGTCAACGAAATGGACGAAGGAGACTACCAATGTCGAGCAGAGAATGCAGCTTACAGTGGGGATGAAGGAAAGCTGAGTAATAAGGGAACACTGTTAATGTTTAGACCTACTTGTAAGTTGTAAATATAATTGATAAATTACAATACAATTATTCTTTAACGCTCTTGGTGAATATCTCAATACTATCTTTCATGTGATTTAATTTTTACGTTTCAATGGGTTGATTTTTGATTGGAAATATAATATGTATATTTTTCATTAGCAACATCAAGGGCACCCGTATCAAGTCTCTCGGGTACAGGTACGTCTTTCATCCATTTATTATGCTTTATTTTTGTTTTTTGTTTTATTTATTTAAATTACTTTTCAATTCAAATAGGAACTAAAAATAATGTTTATTGCACTAATACGTTTATCTTAGTAGTATCCATTTATTTCTAGGCACAGAATTGTTTTCGTTTGTTTATTCTCATAATAAAGAAGGAATTATTGTTACTGAATACAATATTTGATTTGGTTTGATTTGTGTACTATCATTTCTCTAATCGTTTTTATAATACACTATTTTGTTATAACCACATAATGTAATTTGTATTGTATTATGTTAAAATAATAAGTTATTGATTGACTGACTGACTGACTGATTGATTGATTGAAGTATAGTTGATACGTTCTTCAACAATAAATTAGTTTAATCAGTTATTCAGATATTGTTTTTTTTTTATTGAGATGTCTTGTTAGCCACACATTGGACTTCTGTAGCAGGTATTTCCAAAACTGGTAGGTTTTGCTTTATTATATTTATTTATTTTTTAATCTTGCATTTATTCATTCACTAACTCACTTCATTCGTTTATTCATTCATTCAAGCATTCATTCATACATACATGTATCTGTCCGTCCATCCATCGATCGACGCATCCATCCTTCCATATATTTATTAATTTGTTTTCTAATTTTCTCAGTCATCATAAGTTTGTTTATTTTTTGTTTGATTTACGCATTCATTCATTCATTTAGTATTCTATAATCATGAACGTACCATATGAACTACAAATGTTTCAGTATTCCAATATTTCTAAATATTCCTATATTTTGTTTATGTATTATTGGTTATGATTGATTTATTGATTCATTGATTGGTATGACTCCCCTTGTGACACACTTTATGTACTTTAAATGTCAATAAAACAAAAAATAATTCTGCTTTTCTGTGAATTTATATAATGATCTATAGCACAAATAAAATGTTTTAAAATACGTACTATCGTTGACTATTATCCAAATGCAATTATTATATTCTCACTATCAGTATTTTGTTTACGTAGAACAACAGAAATCGTCAAACTTCAATACTAGTCTTGTTGCTGGAACGACGTTTTTAGGTTTCTTTATGGGAATCCTTTTATCTTCATTTGTATGTGTCATTCTCTGGAAATTGAGAAATTCAAAAGCACAGGTACGATACCAGCATCGTGTACATACTGATACCGATGTGTTTTACTAAACTGGTGGGGCTTTTCTTTTGGTTAAAGATGATAATGGCATAAGCCTACTTTAGTTTTAGTCGAATATAGATGATATAATAACCTTAAAGTGATGCCACTGAAGATGAAATGATATTAGGCCTCATATACAACATGTGCACTTAAGCAATACACACAAGGCTAACTATGCTCCTGAATCGCAGCGTACTAGTGTGGCTATCGTAATTCATCGGTTAATGTTTCATTAACAAACGTTGCTTTTGCTTGTTATGATACTTATGTCATGATATTAGTATTAACACTAATAGATATGAATTTATACAAAGAGGAAGATAATCCCATTTTTTAATTATCTTAAAAATTTATTTGATATCATTGCATTTAAAGATCACCAAAGCAACATCCTGCAGATAAGAAAGTTGATACTCTACAAAAATCAAACGAAATAACCTCAAAATCAAACATAACAATGAATTGCTAATTTAAAATGAATTAAAGTTATCAATGAGACATTTCGAAAGAACAGATTAATGCCAATTGTGCATACTTTTTAATACTAATAAGTAAGATAGCAACACTCTCTAACATTTTCCCCACATTTGATCCGTGTAGGAAGATGATCTATACTCAAAAAACAAAAGTTGATCCAAAGCTCGATAAAAGTATTGTATAATAATATATTAGTTCTGAAATTTTTCTTAAAAAGGCTTCTTTAAGCGTGACAAGCACCCCTCGTACCATTATGACAAATGCATGTAACAAGCTGACGTTACATATTTTGTGAGCGAGATCGGAGGTCTAAAGATGCAATCTTTACCGTGCATCAATTTCACGGACTAGTGATGTATGTAAGAATTTCGTAGGACGCGTATAGAATGACAAAATATTCTCTGTATCTACTGGAACTGAGCTGCATAGCTTTTGTTCCATTATTTGCATTCACACCTGGGCTGTTATATATATTGCCCTGGTTTGGCTCTGTAGTCATTAGTGGTCGTTTGACTAGTCTGGGCTGTGCCAAAGCTGGTCGAACGTTTCGTTTGGGTCCGTAACAGGGTTGCCATTTGGCCTTTTTGACGGCCAGATTCCTCAAATCTGGCCGTATAAAAACTTGCCTGGCCGTAGCATTTGGAATTTGGCCGAATTTTTGAGAAGTTTACATTTTTTTCAATATAGGCCTAATATAACGTAGACTTGTTTTGGATATTTTGTTTTAGTTAGCTTAAATTCATTTGATTCTAATCTTGTAACTTTGTTTGTACTTGCACTAAACACTTAATCTATGGTATGTTCCCCGATTCAGCCGATTTGGCGTAAGAGAGTTTATTTTAAAAAAAACAGTTACATTTAATAATTTAAATTTTTCGGATGAAATATATTGTTTATGAAGTTTATCCTCGTTTAAGCTGAAGACAGTTTATTGCAAGTTTGTACCATACATTGTGTGTCTTTGTATGTTCTATCTTACTAGTTGGAGTTTCTATCTCTTTTGAATTTCTTTTGAATATAAATTACTGTAATTTAATTAATTTATTATTGCCCAATTAAATTGTATAGACCTAGGTACCGCAATGTTCTTTATGTAGAGCGCCATATATAAATGCTCGATGTGATCATTCGGGTCGGATGGCACCCCCAATTTCTAGCAAGTTTTGCAGAGACTTCTTCGAAGTTACTCTGGAGTTAGGTTGCATATGAGAATGAAGAAGATAATTCTGATAGCAACATTGATTTATTGCTTTAAATACTGCGACAATAACATTCAGAGGCGAATTTAGAAGTTTAGATAAGAAGTATTTATTCAAGGTTTCATAGGTTTGTTTTAACGCCAGCTTGTGTTACCTAAATATGTAACTTAATTCATTCTAATTAAAGAGAGATTTGCCAATAACAGGCCCTTAAAATTGTTGCTATAAATCTACTACAATGTACATTAATATTTATTACATTTAAATCAAATTTAGATCAATCTTAGTATTGTGATTTTGAATAGCAGAGGTGGATTTAAGGGGGGAGGGGTGGTAAAAAAAAATTTATCGCCCAAACGCATCAGGTTATTTTCGGGCGTCTAGAGAAGACAAATTTCCTTTAAGATGGTGTTATCTCGATCGGACCAACTTTCGCCCCTCCTCCCTTTTTTTCGGCCTCGGCCCTCCCCCTTTGGGACATCTCTGGATTTGCCCCTAAATTGGCCCGCATGCCAGCAACTGAAGAACATAGGCTATTTAATATTTAACATTGTTCTGTGTATATCTTTGCATTTCTTCAATTTCAAACGAATGACCGCTGATTTTCGTATAATTTTTGTAGTATTTAATGAATGTACCCACTGTTGTCTTCTAATCGGATTAAAATCTGGCCGAATTTTGGCCGATATCGAAAAAAAAAGTTTGGCCGAATTTGGCCGTGAGATGGTGTGTGTTTGGCCGTGAGAGCCTGTCGACTATCTGGCAACCCTGGTCCGTAACCTAGCTGCACTGATGAGGCCTGGAAGGCCGAAACGGATCCGTCTGTAAATATTGGGATTTCTTCAGTGGATGCTTAGTTTATTTTGTCTTTCTGATCGGATTTTCTCTACTGTTCCGGCTATTAGCTGCGGTTTTTAGGGGTTTTCCCCATTTTGCCTTTTTAAATTTATATTATTAATTAAGTCTCTATTATCCAGTGGGCCGCCATTTATGCACGGTAGAGATTGCTCTCTTTAGATCTCCGATCTTGTTTACAAATTCACGGAATAGTGCTGTATGTAAGACGCGTTAAGAACTTTCAAAATTCGTGCGTTGATGCTAGTATAAGCTGAACATTGATAGGCAGTCTTTGCACGAACAATTGTTTCAAAATACAGTTAGTCAACGTCACCTAACAATTGATGCATCTTGCGGAATAACGGATTCGGCTTGCGATCGCCCACTTAAGTGGTAAGGAGTTGATGTAGGCGTTTTTGCTTCAACATAAACGTTACATTCACCAGCTCAGGATTTAAAAGAGGGGGTTCAATTTTCAGACCCCACCCCCCAAATGATAGGGGGTCCTCCCCCGGGAAAATTTTGATTCCTAGATGGCCGAAAATGAGCTTTCCCGACTTCTGAGGAGTCTTTTAATGACCTTTAAGTTGTTCAAAAATGTTTTACCCTTCTTGAGTCAGGTAGTTTTATCTCATTCTTTAGGCCTATCGTAGAGAAAAAAGAAAGACAGGCAATATATTATTATATTCCAACAACATTGAATAGTTAGATAGGAGGCCTATCTTTCTTCCATGGATCGATGAACCGATAGGCCTGAAGAACGCACATTCGTACATAAATTATTACGACGGCGAACCAAAAACAGCGTGTATAATTTATTTAATTGAAAACTAGATGGGCTAAACCAGTTTGTCTGATCTTCCAAACTATGCCTAAAGTAGGTTTGCATGACTTTTGTAAGCCAGGACCCAGTTTTTTTTTGTTACGTTTCTTCACAGGGGGGGGGGGGGGTTCGTCCGAACCCCTTGAATCCCCCCCCCCCTTCGGATCTGCCACTGGTAATTCATCGGTTAATGTTTCATTAACAAACGTTGCTTTTTCTTGTGATAGTACTTATGTCATGATATTAGTATTAACACTAATAGATATGAATTTATATAAAGAGGAAGATAATTTCATTTTTTGATTATCTTATTTATTTGATATTGCATTTAAAGATCACCAAAGCAACATCTTGCAGATAAGAAAGATGCTACTCTACAAAAATCAAACGAAAGAACCTCAAAATCAAAAATAACAATGAATAGCTAATTTAAAATGAATTAGAGTTATTAATGAGACATTTCGAAACAGATTAATGCCAATTGTGCATACGTTTTAATACTAATAAGTAAGATAGCAATACTCGCTAACATTTTCCCCTGCTTTTAAGGTGATCCGTGTAGGACGATGATCACTCAAAGAACAAAAGTAAATGTATAATTAGCAGGTGTGAACGGGTCGGAAAAGTTTTTTTAAGGGTGGCAAGCACCCCATGTAATTGTGTACCATGATGACAAATGCATGTAACAAACAAACGTTACGTAATTTGTGATCGGAGATCTAAAGATGCAATCTTTACCGTGCATCAATTTCACGGACTAGTGCTGTATGTAAGAATTTCTTAGGACGTGTTAAGAATGACAAAGTATTATCTGTATCTACTGGAACTGAGCTGCATAGCTTTGTTCCACTATTTGCATTCACACCTGGGCTGTTATATATATTGCCTTGGTTTGGTTCTGTTGTCATTAGTGGTCGTTTGACTAGTCTGGGCTCTGCCTAAGCTGGTCGGACGTTTCGTTTGGGTCTGTACCCTAGCTGCACTGATGAGGCCTGGAAGGCCGAAACGGATCCGTCTGTAGATATTGGAATTTCTTTAGTGGATGCTTAGTTTATTTTGTCATTCTGATCGGATTTTCTCTACTGTTCAGTTTTAATTTTATATTGTTTTGCATTATGTGGCCAGTTGCTGTTTTTATGGGTTTTTCCCATTTTGCCTTTATATTATTATTATTATTAAAGAATCTCTATTGAGATCCAGCGGGCCGCCATTTATGCATCTTTAGATCTCCGATCTTGTTTACAAATTCACGGACTAGTGCGCATGTAAAACTCGTTAAGAACTTCCAAAATGCGTGCGTTGATGCTAGTATAAGCTGAACATTTGTTTCAAAATACAGTTACATGACTTTAACTCAACTTCACCTAACAACTGATGCACCTTGCGTAATAACTGACTCGGCTTGCGATCTCCCAGTTAAGTGGTTATGAGTTGATGTAGGCGTTTTTGCTTCAACATAAACGTTACATTCACCAGCTCCTCTTTCAAACGTAGTAGCCTATACTGGGAAGCATTACGTAATAAATCCCGCACTTCTTGTGCAATGTTAAGTTGGAAAAAGGCAACAGCATAAGCAGTATACGTGTATATTCAACATTAATTCCACTGGTTACGAACTGATAGACAACTTGGACAAACCAAAACAAATGGCGAAGCTTTAGATCTGGTCAACACTAACACAGTGTCGGAGTCATAACTTCGGAGAAAACATTTTTTGTGAGGCATTGATTAGAGTTTTTTTTTTTTTTGATTAGTTTTTTTTTTTTTTTTTTTTTTTTTTTTTTTGCTTTTGCATGTCTTTTACCAGAATAAACATACGAATAAATGTACACATAATTTTATCTTAAAGGAAACAAAAGAAACTTTCAGAAAGGACGAACAACCATCGGTAAGAAAACATATAGGCATATCATGAATATATAATTATATGAGCATATAATAATTGTCTGTAAAAGATAATTTGATAGTGTGGACTGAGCATTAGAATTAACATCAGTAGACTGCAAAACAAAAATAGAATAAGTGAACGAGAATCTACTGTCTAATCGGCGTATATTATTTTGTATCTCAGTATTACGCAAGATTGTGCCATACTCAATATCAAGTAGTTTATAAAACCTCTTTGCATGCAAAGTTTAAATTTACTTTCAAAAAATATCTTCTTCCCAAATTTAATCATAACCTACACCAATTAATACGCAATTCTTTTTATTTTTTAGGCTTACATGGGATACAGAAGTGAACCGAGTACAGAGAACAAGATGTATGAAGACCTATTATTGAATAAAGAAAATCCAGTAGTTTATTTAAATGTTAAGTAAAAACAGTGAAAGTTTAAACATTCAAATGCACGGACTTAGCAAACAGGGCTTAAACTTAACTACGGTAATCGGATTGGGTTCAAATTCCGATTGCGGCAATATTCGGGGGAGGGGGTGTTTTTAATATTCACATCATTTATTCACTAGTGGAAATGTTTCTTTCATGTGAAGAGTTGCTATCATGTGATTTATTATATTCATTGTGTATTACATAATACTTTGAAAAAAAAACACGTGTCTTACAATTAACATCCACAAGAATGAACAGATAAAAAAAAAATCTTCGTACAATACAACAAGTTTTTATTCAGAGAAATATTTGCGCTTACTTTCTGTCAGTTTGTATACATAGAATGATATTCAGTCTTGTATTTGCCAAATTTATATAATAAATAAATCACGATGTGATAATTTTTTAGGTTATGGGCTATAAACCTAGCCAGTACATCAAAGAAAACGTGTGGATATTTTTAATAAATAAAAGTGTGTTAATCTTTAAATATTGTGTCCTTCGATAAAGATTGTTTTGGTTTCACTAAACTTGGTCACCTATACCACACGATGCAGAGGCGGATCCAGGATTTGAAAAAAGTCAAGCGTTCCAATAGCGAACAATGCACACATTTATTTGTTTTTGCTAGATTTTTGTTTTTTTCAAACAATAGTGCTTACAGGTGTATATTTCGGCCCCAAAATCATCAAAGCGACTCACTATTATTCAGCATTAAATTCAAAAATAAAAAGTATTTTTTTCTTTTGTGGTGACGACACTATCATATTATCCATAACAAATATGCCTATATATTTTCAATCTTTTACATTATACTATCATATTTTTTTTTGTATCTTTCATTCCAATCATTCTTCTTTGGGTTTTTCGTATGTTTTTGTAAATATTTGTAAATAATTTATAAACATATTGAACATATTCAAACTGATGTAGTCAATCAATCAATCAATCAATCAATCATTACCATAATTATCAGCAATTTTGCCATAATCTAAACATGATATTGTGCAGTTGCAAGATACAAGATAATTTTATTTTCAATACACAAAAATTCTTTTCTGATGAAAATACAGCATAATAATTTTTTTTAAAAACAGTAAAATATTAACATTATTAAATATAGAAAATGTTAATATAAAAATTGTTAATTTAGTAATGCATTACTGAACAATACATAATTTAACATTAACCAATTTGGGCCTATGTGGTAGGATAGATAATAGGCGACAATAATGCCCACCAACGTAATCTGGGACACCATAACGGAACCATACTAGGAAATATTGAAAATATTTTTCAATGGAAACGACAGACTTTCACATAATACTATTTTCATACTGCTGTAGGTCAAGAAAAAAGTAAACTTCAAGAATTATACTTTAAACATTGTATAATGTTTTAGAAGTTTAGTTATCTTAAAGCAAAATATAGACCTTTATGGATATTACGAATGTACAGCCACCTTACTGCCATATATTGAGCAGTGACTTTAATAGAATAATAAGATGGATTAAGTCAGTATTTTCTATTTATACTTTATTTGAACTGAATTGTTTTTTATTCTTAAAAACAAACAATAAACAAATCTCAGTGTACATTTTGATCATTATTTACATTGATGAAATATCTCAAGTATGGTTATAATTGCTTGGCTTTTGACTGATACTTTAATGCTTCTGTCAAGTTTTTTGTTTATTTTATAAATGATGCATAAACAATAAATAATGTTTAATTTGTGTTAATTATTTAATTGGGTGCACAACATTGTGTTTACAGTTCATAGTTTACTTTTTATAAAATAATTATACAAATATTAAAACAAAATATAAAATTTTCTTTTATATTCAGCTTCTGGCATAACATCATCTTCCGATTGAACTCACCAGCTTTGTCACAGCTTTAATATTTGTTTTGGGAGAAGGCGTCCTAGTCGTTGCTATGGATCTGAGATAGGGTGTTCGTGTTACGCCATAAGTTCGTTACCAAGTACGTTAATTTGTAGCCATAGAGATAATTATAAAGAGAGGGCGCATTGTATTTTTTCTTGAAAACTCAAATGAGAATGTGCTAAAGGTCGGAAAAAGTAAAAGAGGAGTAGGACTAGGCATAAGACAATGTAAAAAGAGTAAAATTGGAAATATACTGTCTGTCCAGGGATCGGAGCTCTCATCTGTCCAAGAGAAATATCCTCATTTTGATATTGACCTAAGAAGAATGACGTGTTTCCACTGTGCAGCTCAAATCATGCCAACAACCACATTCCCAGATTGATTGGATTAATAACTTGCTAGAAAGAAAATCTTATGATATTCAAATCTTAAATTATTCAAACGGAGCACGGACAAATAATAAGGAATTAGTAGAGCTCTGCATAGTACACTATAGGAAAATTATTATATGAAGGTTAGATTTAATGATTGATTCAAATTCAATATTAAGTATGAACAATTAAGGAATTCATTAAATCAATGGACCCTCATAAACACAACAAACTGAACGTTTAATAGGAATATTCTAGACCTATTTTAAAGACTCAAGGAACAAATTTAGATGTAGGCTTAGGCCTACGGCCAGGCAGGAGGCCGCCCGGGCTCCTCTAACTACTACTAGGCCTACTACTACTAAGCTGTAGAGCTACTAGGCAGAGGAGCATAAATCAGCATACGCACAGCTAATGTAAATACGCACACGTAATACTGATCATATCACTATAGCAACCGATGACTGCTACAACAGTTATAAAAAAATAATATTCAAAGACGGCGATTGACTTATAAAGCAATTAGTAGAGCATGTATCGTACACAAAATGGAAAATTATTATACTTAGTTTAGATTTAATGCATTCAAAAATTGTTTTCAAGCATTAAATTTAACCTTCGTATAATAATTTTCCTATAGCGTACTATGCGGAGCTCTACTAATTGCTTATTATTATGATGATAATAATAATGTAGGTGGTCTATATTGTATCCGAATAAATATTAAGTTTTATTGTGTTCAAGTTAAATTCATTTTATCATTGATTTTATTTATTAATAAACGATAATTGTAGTGTCATCGTCGCTTCACGGATAAAGTATCCAAAATCATGAAGACACACAGATTACAGTACAAGAAATGATGAAACACAATAATTAGTTGTCATACATTATGATCATTGTTTGTATTTTCTTATAGAAAACAAGTCACACTGCAGATTACCTGACATCAACTACGTTCATCATCATCATTATCGTCACCATTATTTAATTTTTGCATTGTTTGTGTTGATAATTGTTAAGCCAATCTGTACCTATATACAGTACTGTACTGTACTTACGCATTTACGTCCTGAGTAAACAAATTTAATTTCGTACAGATACAAATATATTTCAGAATTATAATAAAAAAAGGGGGTTCAAATCTGTGGTGTACTCTTCATTATAACGCTTGCCAGTGGAACCGTACGCCTACAGCTCCACAACCCATTTTCGCCATAGCAGCGTATTGACGACTAGTATTTAGAAATATGATTTTATGATTAACACTGTTTAAATATTCTTATCTGAATAATTATCTTATATTAGGCCTATTTATAGGTAACTGAAGCAACACCCGGACTCATGAACAACCGGTGGTAAGAAAGGTGGGATGTAAGAAAATTAGTATTTATTGATTATGACAATCCATTACGCTAAAGTATTTTTTAGAGAAAATTGAAATGTAGACAATGAAAAAGGCTAGGACCCTGTGAGTACTGGCGTGGCTATATAGTGCTGCGAAAATACCATATACTTAAGCGGATTGTTCGCCCTTTACCGGTTTTTAACAAGGGTCTTCAGCACAAAGAACACTGGAAGTATACCTAAGGCCGGTTGCCTAGAACTAGATTGTAGGCGCATTGGATGACAAAACGATTGCACTTAGCTCATGTGATTTGAACACTGACTACGCTATTCTCACAAAACCTACAGAAATTAATATACTTTTTGATATTCTGAGTTTTCCAGGCTTATACGGCATACAAAGTTGACTCAAGGGCAGATAACAAGTATGAAGATCTACAGTGGAATTATGACAACCTAGATGTCTATGTAAACGTCAAGTGAAATACTCTAAAGTTTGAATGTTAATTTCAATGTGATATTGCTCTGAAATCGAAAAAAATAGTTACAAAGTATGGTGTTGCTTATTAATTATACAATGATATTTAAGTTTAATTTAAAATCTCCCTTGAATTTTTAAATACATACTTTGTACAAAAATCATAGAATAACACATCGTTAACTGATGCAATCAATCATTATCATAAGATGGTATCGATTTTGAGTCAATTGTTTGTGGTATCCATGTATTAATATTTAATATAAGATTCAAATAATAATAAACAAATACTCTGGGTTTTTTGTTAAAAGCTTATATTTTGCTATCGTTCAAGTTTATCTAAAGCCGGTTACTCACTGCGTGCGACGGCGACGCGACGGCAACAAGAACGCACGCGAAGACGCGCACCCAACGGATCGTCTTTTTAATGAGGATCCGTTCAGATTGCCACTGACAATCAATAGACGGCGTTGCGTCGTCTATCGCTCACCGGAAGCAAATGTGGATTCGTCGTGCGACGGTCGTACGACGCAGTGAGTGTCCGGCTTTAGAAACATTTTAAAAGATGTCAATATTTATTATGGATGGATATTATGGATAAGATGACACACTTAATGGATGTAAATTATTTCTGAGATTAGATAAAAATGATTCTGCTAAATTATGTAGGTATTAATAGGTAGGACAGGTAATAAAGGACAAGATAATTACAATAACAATAGTCACCACTCTCTGAGACATTCCTGTGACGGAAACCATACTGCTTCGGAGGAAATATAAATATCTTGCCAAAGGAAGCAATATACATAATATTTTGTACATAATAGTCCTACTCTAGGTCAACTTCATGAGAACTAAGCATTAAAATAATCATATATTAGTATACTGTACTTAGATATTCATTTCTATGGAAGGTATAAAACGCGCAGAGAAATGTATCTGGTTATATCAATACCAATTCGTTAATCACATAGGCCTAGGCCTTATTAAATCAAAATCATTAATGCTTGGTTTCCATACATTTGCTAGACAGTCGCTACAGCGTTTTCATTGCAATTTGCACTGCGACGCATTATTTTTTCCATACAGTAAAGGCAGAAATTATAGAGGGCACTATTAGGTCATTAGGTAAACTGATATGCATGCCAGACCTTCACCTCGTGGAAACAGAGTTCAGTCGTGTATCGAGATGAACGTATACGGATTAGGCCAAAATCTTAGATCTTGGTAGTCTAGACAGTGTGACAATTTATGGCATGGTCTTTGAAACTATAAAAAAGCACAGTAATATTGAATCTGGCTGTTTCAGTAGGTCTACATTATGATAGTATAGGCCTAGGTATGACATGTGTTGTAGCAATTGTATACCCCCTATAGTAGTACTGATTCTGGGACCGCTGATTCT